GAGGGGGCTCAAAGCGGTTAATTTGGCTTGTATGATAACAAAAACAATCAACAATGTCATCACGAAGTCTCAAATAAATTAAAATAAAAATTGGGTCATAAATTGATTATTTATATTAGTATAACATTTTAAAAATTGTATATCAAATCTATTGAATCAAAACATCTAAAAATAGTAATATACCGATTGACAAAAACCCCTACGTGTGAGAAGCCAAAAATAAAACAACTGTTTGTGTAATATATAATACAAAAAATATGATGCAAGTGTTAAAAAGAGTTAGAAGCAAGCATTTGTCCTTTAAGTGGTATTAGGAATTAAAAAAGAAAAAAGAAAGAGGGAGAGAAATAATTTATATTAGGCTGCGTATGAAGGGAGGGGTCTCAAATCGGTTAATCTTGACTTATATGATGATAATAAAAAAATAAAAAATGTCATCACAGAGCCTTAGATAAATTAAAACTAAACTAAGTGATGCATCAATCACTTTTGCTTGTATAAGATCCACCATTGTTGTCTAAACAATTCATCCACCAACAAGCAGTCACAAACTCAATAAAATTTTTTAAATCAAAATAGGCCAAAAGGCTATATATAAATGAAAATAGTCTTGGACCATAAAGGCCACCACAATCAAAACAAAAAAGAAACAAAATAAAGGTCCAAAAATTATTTTCCCAAAAACCGACGAATATAACCAAAAACAACAAAATATATCAGATGATAACACTCCTTGATACACCTAAATTACACATCTTTTAAGAAGTATAATATAGTCATTGTCAAATATTGAACTCAACTAGGTTAGTGGGTCGAATTCCACACAAAATAAGGTGAGAACTAAGCCTTATATTGTTATCTTTCTATTAGTCGACTATTTCCAATATTTCCATACAAAGGAGGTTTGTGAAAATTATTTATCTTTTGATATCAATTGTAATCAAGTAATAATAATAATAATTCCAAAAAAAATAGAGTTAATTAATAGAAGAAGCTAGTGTTGTGATCATAATAATTTCATGACAAACTCGAGTAACTAATGGCAGTAGACTCTTCTAATGCTAAGTGTGGAAGCTATCAATTAGAATGTTACATCTGAAAAAATTTCAAACTAATAAGAAGAACATCACTCTCATTCTCTCAAGCTAAGAGTGATAACAAAAAAAACGTCAATAATTTTCCTAAGTTGGTCAATCTTATTAGGACACTAGATACAGGACCCCGTGCCAGCACGGGCCCCAATATATATTAGTATTTTTTGTCTCAATTTATGTGATATCATGAAATTTTAGTATACAACTAATGAAACATACACACACGTAAAAGTGAGGTTAGGCTATTTGAGGGAAACACATTTGTTTTTGTGCTTAGATGATAGCCTTTCGTGTTCCAAACTTTGAATGAAAAGAGGAGATCAGCAGCAACATTTTCCTGTGGATTTAACCTAAAGTGTTATTCAAAAGTAGCATAGGAAAGGAAAACGGTAGAGATAATAATAATTCAGTGAAGCTAATCTCATTTAGAAAGTAATAATGAAGACAATATGTGAAACAGGAAAAACACCAATTGAAAAGGAAAACTATTTTTTCTCACCAAGTAGAGTATCAAATTCATCGCCATTTGTTGTTGCAGTTTCCCTTAACACCGATTTGTCAGCTGTAAAACTTCTATTTGTACTTCAAAAAAGCACTACTTTTCTTTCTGCAACAAGTAAGACTACTTTGTCTTATCATATGAATGAATCAAAAAAATTAGACTCCTAAACTGCAAATAAAGACCCAAGCTGCAAATAAAGGAACCAAAGTCCTTACCAGACTATCTCTTCCAAAGAAGCAGGCTGAAGATAATACTTATTATTCACCTTGTCAGTATTGGATGTACACCTGAAATGAAACATTAACACCATCAATTCAATATGTTTTTTGTCCAAATGTTACCAACTTTTATACCTTTCCATTACTTTTCTGAAGCATCGAGCTCTAAGTGAATAAAATATCTAAAAATGGCAATCTATGACAGTGAAAAATAGCAAGGAAAATCGTATCAAATCAAAGTTCTATTCAACCCAAAATTTCAGTCTTTTTCCTTCCATTTATATAGACGGAGAAATATCACCATAAAATGACCAACAACAAATAAGAAAATATAAGAAGAAATCTTTTCAAGAAAGCATAATTCTTCATGTAGTATGTTGAAAGCCTTATTTTTCCCATCAATATAGTGCAATAGCACTTGCAACAATTATGAAGCATCACGATAATTTGCCACAAAATAAGATAGACAATATTAAACACAAGAAAACTAAATTCTAAGTTTTAGCAATAAAAAACAGAATACATGCAAGCACAAAGATAACATTTGGTTTGAGATTTCAAAAATATTAAAACATCATCAAATCTGTTACAAAATAAGACATGGACACATGATTAATCAATAAGAATTGTATTACACTAAGTAGCTGACAATTTTTGATAATTCTTTCATCCATAGCTACATTAGAGGGAATATAATGCTGCAAAAAACTTTCAAACATATTACTACTACTACTATGATAAGAAGAAAGGAAAAGCAAGAGAGAAGTTGTATGTTCGAAAATGTAACAATAACTACAACAAAATAAGATGATAATCAAAGTATAAGAGAATCAAATAACAAGAAACTACGTAGTAGTATTATGACTATTGGTACCTGATTAATCTTTTATCCTAATCTGAATCTTCCATTAGCTGCTATCTAAGTCCATATAGTTGGTTAGCCGAAAAGTATGTCATGTGCTATTTAACCTCTGAAAAGCCAAATAGAATATCAACTATCGAATCAGAAAGTATGAAATGGAAGGAAAAGGAAGGACAACAAATACATTACCTTAGCTGAGCAGTGATTACAACTCAAGAGTTTTCAACAGTGGTTTTAACTGGATGTCAAAATTTGACAGTACAACTAACTTTACTCCTGAATGGTGTGGAGCACCTTCTCGGCATGTGGATGATAGAGATACCAAGCCTATTGAAGCATGACAAACGAAAAGTGAAATTATTGAGTGCCTTCTTATTACTGTAGATGTTGTGTCGTCAACATTGAGTGACTTACATAATAAGCCTGCATCATAAGTCAACATTCTGTATCTATTCTGTGCAGTAGTTGCATAAATGTTGGCACATCTTAGTCAGTTATCGAGATACGTGGAATATGTTCATAACAAAGCTTTTTGAATGATCTCATTGTATACTACATTACAAGTTGAGTGATCATCATCATTATCTGCAGTAGGAGGTCGAATCAATATTTTTATACAGTTTGAACTTTTCGCTCTTGATAAAGCAACATATAATTGACCATGGGAAAAAACTGGTTCACGTAAATAGATACCAACATAATCTAATGTTTGTCCTTGTGCTTTATTTATAGTCATTGCAAAGCATAGACGTATAGGAAACTGTGTTCTTTTAAAAGGAATATGTATTTTTTCATCCTCTGATGATAGTAATGGTATTCTTGGAATAAATACGTGCTTATCTTTGAAGTCACCACTTGCAATTTTACAACTTATAACATGTGTTTTGAAATCACAGCACACCAATCGTGTACCGTTACATAAGCCTTCAGAAGGATTTAAATTTCGCAATAATATAACAGGGCAGTTTTGCTTTAACATTAATCTGTACGTAGGTAAGCCAAGAAGATTTAGAGTGTGTAAGAAGTCCTCAAATTGAGGTTGATCGTTTGGTTCAATAGTCTCATCAGCAGCTATGAATATTTTGGCAACTGTTGAAAATTGAGTTATGAGTCTATCGTTTAGTTCATCAACAAAGTCGTTCTTTGTAGTCAAGATAACACGAGATGTCATAAAAGAAGAGTCATTGAAAGATGTATGTAAATTCGGATATATCACTTTGAACAAAAGATCTAATGACTCTTTTTCAGTAGTGAAAGGAATGATGAAATGCTTTGGGATTTCTATTTTATTGTTCATATTTGTTTTTTCTTTTCCATTCCCAATTCTCATCAGATATTCACAAAAAACAGGATCAGTCCTTGCACGCATATTTTCTGATAGTCTCAATTTTTCAAGTTGATTCCAAATTCTGGAGTTTAAAATACTTTCAGAAATAAAGTCTTCCTTTTTTCCACTTCGGACAACAGGAAGCGTTTGCCTAAAATCACCTCCAAACACTACGACTTTTCCACCAAAGAGTATATTTGTTTCAGTTAGGTCTTTCATAAGCAAATCAAAAGCTTCAATCATATTTTTTTTGACATTGATACCTCATCCCATACAATTAATTTTGCATCACGAATTAAAGATGCGAGAGAGCTTTGCTTAACTGATGTTACAGGAGAACTGCTCGTCAATATTAATTGGAATTTTGAAACGTGAATGGGCTGTTCGTCCTCCAGGAAGTATAGATGCCGCAACACCAGAAGTTGATGTCGCCAAAGCTATGAAACCTTTAGATCTTACAATGGCCAATAAAGCACGGTACAAAAATGTTTTACCACTTCCTCCGGACCATCAATGAAAAAAGCACCTGATTCGTTAGTAAGTACTCTTTGAAGGATAGTATCATATGCTATTTTTTGTTCGGTATTCAGTTTTTTATATAATAGCAAATCTTCTTTAGTAACAACTATATTCCTTTCAAAATTAACATCTTTTGCTTCTGACTCTACTGTTGAACTCACAACATTTTCAGAAATCAATCTATACTCATTTACATCATGTCCCATGGTATGTAATACATCATTAATATGGTTCAAAACTGAATGTCTTGTTTTTTTGGATCCATGTTTGGTAATTTATTGAAGTCTTCAGACATTGACTCTTCAAATTGTTCCCATAGTTCTTTTGGATTATCAGGATTTCAATATACTAATATTGTAGCAAATAAATGCCGCAAGCTATAAGGCATTTGATAACATACAGCCTCTGTCATACATTCAACCAAGTTGTTATTATGATGTAACAATCCTCTTTTTTCTGCAGATTCTCTAAATGTGTCGTAGTATTTTCCATCTATTTTTCGAAGATCTTGGTATGACTCAGG